AGACTGTTTTGGGTTTATTCAGATGTCTGTGTTTTAGATTGTGTACATTCAAAAATTTAGTACGAGATATATAAACAGAACAAATCAAGATGGTGGCAAACATGTTCCGCGTCATTGTTAACATATTGCATGAGATATATCAACTAAAAAGTAGAGTTCAAAATGAATAAAACGATATTACTTAAAAATAACGCAAATTATCAAACGTTGGTGGAACATATCTATAGTTAATGTGATGTGATTTCAGGTAAATTAAGAAACTTGTGATAGTCATCTCAATGTCAAAAAGTAGTAAATTTTTGTGTGGTTTGTCTGTGACAGTGGTTTTCAAACCTCTCCATGAAGTACCCCCAGCACTGCACATTTTGTATGTCTCCCTGTATCTGATACACCCACTTCAGGTCTTGCAGTCTCCACTAATGAGCTGATGAGTTGAATCTGGTGTAATAGATGAGGGAGACATACAAAACGTGTAGGGCTTGGGGGTACTCCAGGACAGGTTTGAGAACCACTGGTCTATGATGTCAGTGGTGCTCTCACACCAGTTTCCAAGTAGATACAGGTGCGTCTCAATAAATTAGAATGTCGTGGAAAAGTTCATTTATTTCAGTAATTCAACTCAAATTGTGAAACTCGTGTATTAAATAAATTCAATGCACACAGACTGAAGTAGTTTAACTCTTTGGTTCTTTTAATTGTGATGATTTTGGCTCACATTTAACAAAAACCCACCAATTAACTATCTCAACAAATTAGAATACTTATTAAGACCAATAAAAAAAACATTTTTAGCCTTCTGGAAAGTATGTTCATTTACTGCACATGTACTCAATACTTGGTAGGGGCTCCTTTCGCTTTAATTACTGCCTCAATTCGGCATGGCATGGCCCAGGTTTCTTTGACAGTGGCCTTCAGCTCATCTGCATTTTTTGGTCTCTTGTTTCTCATTTTCCTCTTGACAATACCCCATAGATTCTCTATGGGGTTCAGGTCTGGTGAGTTTGCTGGTCAGTCAAGCACACCAACACCATGGTCATTTAACCAACTTTTGGTGCTTTTGGCAGTGTGGGCAGGTGCCAAATTCTGCTGGAAAATGAAGAAAATGAAATCAAAAAGCTGGTCAGCAGAAGGAAGCATGAAGTGCTCCAAAATTTCTTGGTAAACGGGTTAAACGGGTGTGGTTTTCAAAAAACACAATGGACCAACACCAGCAGATGACATTGCACCCCAAATCATCACAGACTGTGGAAACCTAACACTGGACTTCAAGCAACTTGGGCTATGAGCTTCTCCACCCTTCCTCCAGACTCTAGGACCTTGGTTTCCAAATGAAATACAAAACTTGCTCTCATCTGAAAAAAGGACTTTGGACCACTGGGCAACAGTCCAGTTCTTCTTCTCCTTAGCCCAGCCCAGGCCCTCTGACGTTGTCTGTGGTTCAGGAGTGGCTTAACAAGAGGAATACGACAACTGTAGCCAAATTCCTTGACACGTCTGTGTGTGGTGGCTCTTGATGCCTTGACCCCAGCCTCAGTCCATTCCTTGTGAAGTTCACTCAAATTCTTGAATCAATTTTGCTTGACAATCCTCATAAGACTGCGGTTCTCTCGGTTGGTTGTGCATCTTTATCTTCCACACTTTTTCCTTCCACTCAACTTTATGTTAACATGCTTGGATACAGCACTCTGCGAACAGCCAGCTTCTTTGGCAATGAAGGGTGTCAATGATTGTCTTCTGGACAACTGTCAGATCAGCAGTCTTCCCCATGATTGTGTAACCTAGTGAACCAAACTGAGAGACCATTTTGAAGGCTCAGGAAACCTTTGCAGGTGTTTTGAGTTGATTAGCTGATTGGCATGTCACCATATTCTAATTTGTTGAGATAGTGAATTGGTGAGTTTTTGTTAAATGTGAGCCAAAATCACCACAATTAAAAGAACCAAAGACTTAAACTACTTCAGTCTGTGTGCATTGAATTTAATACACGAGTTTCACAATTTGAGTTGAATTACTGAAATAAATAAACTTTTCCACGACATTCTAATTTATTGAGATGCACCTGTACAAGTGCTTTTGAAAAATCACATACCCTGCCTTTAACATTGTTTCTAGTTCATCTAAAATAAAATATGCTATATAAATAAATATTCTCCATGAGAGTAGAGCCCAAAGCTCGTGGCCAGTGGTGTTCGGACTGGAGTGTGAACATCTGCTTAATGATATAAACGGGAATCACCCACGAGCTCTCCCGCGAGCCGTCCCAGTGCAGTGCAGGGGAAAGATTTTACTCTATCGCTTTGTTCTAAGCAACGGGGGCGTCCCGGGGCTCGAAATTCACAGGGTAGGAGGGGGTAGTGACGCTGGGTGTAACTAAAAAGGTGCCATTGTCCGGTGAGGTCCGTTTGGGGAGTTACGGAACGATCTCATATCGCATAATCTTATTAACTGTTTATCTCCTGAACTGCAACTTTCTTTACCACGCTATTCAGCGCCAATCCCGCAGTGCAGTCAGTTTCACCGGTTAAGGTTAGGGTCAGATGTGGGGTAGGTTTAGGGGTTAGCATTTTTTGTAGCATAGTGTAGGAAATCAACACTTTAATTGACAAAACCAATAAAATCTTTAGAATCAGCTGTGGGGCGGAGTTTGCACTGAAGTGGATTGGGGGG